GGAGGCAACTGAAGACAAAATGAATGAATGAATGAAATGGAGACATAATATATTTTCAAAGATTACCTGATCAACAGCTGTAAATGCGGATGGTTTTAAGACATTATAATAAAAAATAAACAACAATTTTGAATTTCCAGGACACAGATATTAACTAACTTCCTCCTCTATTAAGAAGTATGGAAAAATACAATTTTGTAAGGCAAGGCAAGGCAAGGCAAGTTTATTTGTATAGCACAATTCGTACACAAAGTAATTCAAAGTGCTTTACAGAATAAGAAATACATTAAAATCATAATAAACAAATCAAAACATAAATAATCATGAAGATTAAAATAAAAAAAAAAGAGACATAAATTGGAGAGAAGAGTGTGGAATGAAAACCTTTCAGTTATATGCACAGTTAAACAGAAATGTTTTGAGCCTGGATTTAAACAGCGTCACAGAAGAGTCTGTCTCACATGTTCAGGAAGACTGTTCCAGGTTTTAGCTGCATGAACCTGAAACGCTGACTCCCCTTGTTTAGTCCTGACTCTGGGCACCAGCAGGAGGCCAGTCCCTGAGGTCCTCAGAGTGCGAGATGGTTCATATGACACTAACATGTCACAGATTGTAACCTCAAAATTGTATTTAAGTATAATTTGTGATGTAATGTCGTATAGTTGAAGATGAAGTGGCAAACTGTAATGGCTCAATGTTTCTGTAAGGATTTGTCCAGTGTCAGAAAAGTTAAGAGTCTAATGATTTCATGTTAAATAAACATATAATGTAATAATAATAAGTCAGTTGCAGTTCCAGTTTTCCCATTGAAATCTCATTATGTCCACTTCACTTTTGCCTCCAGTTGCCTCCATTCTAGAATTTAGATGTTTATGTTTTTGTTTGCACATTTTTAAAGGGTCTGTGGTCTAAAGTCACCAGAAGATTTGAAAAAACTATATCCAATAGCAATACAGTCAGTAACATTTTTATCGAAAATATAACATAACATTTTAAATTGTCATGGCAACAGTCCTAATTATTATTTTATAATTCTGAAACCTAAAAGCACCTTTTTATTAAATGGGGAGCTGATGTAATTGCTGTATCATTAAACATTTTTCACAGTCTAAACCAGGAAACAGCTACTGAAATTTGCTTTTGTTTTATTTACATTGTGAAAAATTCAATAACAACTTTATCTTTATTGAATAACTACAAGAACTTGGAAACATAATGACCAAGTGAATAAATTATTTCTCTGTGTTGGCCAGAATACAAACATACTCTTCGTTTTTCAAGTAAATTGAATCTTTTGAACTGTAATGCAAATGCAATCAACTACACATTCAAAGGCAAATTGCAGGTATAAATAGAGGCTTATGTATATCAGGTCATCACTCATTCAATAATTAATTACACTGCATTCTAATCACACTTTCTAAAGATTCACTATTTTTGCTTAAATTGAAAACTATTTCTTTGTGATACTTCAAAAGCTCAGAGTTTGCAGAGATTTGTTTTTTGATGCAGTGTGAGTGTGTGTTGGTCTGATGTGGTTGCCGTGGTTATAGTTGTGGCATTTGTGGTGGTGATGAGGACAAATTGCTTCTTGACCTCTTTGGTCCAACTTAAACCTGCTCCACAATGACATTGACATTTAAGTTACAACCAAGGGGTGCTGACTTCGATGTAGTGTGCCAGTTAAGGCCTTTTCAACAAGTGAGACTTCCAATCATAAAAGTATAAAAAATAAACTTGAGAAAAATATGATCATGTGTTTAGCAAGAATCAGTGAGTACAAATGAAATGGGTTTGTTCTGGTGTTCTTATAACTACCGCATGGACTCCTTTTGGGCTGCCAAAAAGAAAATCTTCGTGATATAAAAAATGTATGGTTTCAAAACAAACAATACATAATAATAGGCTCAGCTGAAGACGCCAGCTCTCCCACCTGCAGCAAACTGTTCAGGAAACCTTTTTTTTTCATGTGATGTTCCATTGTGTCAAGGCGTCAAAGTGAATTTTACAGATTTACCTATGCCTCATGGGAAAAATACTTTGGCATAAGCTGCTCTATTGACGCAATAAAGTCCAATTTCATTATAAACTACTTTTTCAGTTAGACTGTAGTTCAAAAAAAGATCATCTAAAAGCAAATATAACATTTTGCCTATACAGTAGCTTCGTTTATTTGTTAGTTTTATATCAGATGCCCTTCCTGGCAATTCAATAAAATAACACAGCTGTAAAACAAAATTGTTTTGGGTTGAGAATTACAGTGTTGCCTCAGAATGCACTAATTCAGATTGCACTAATTCTAATAGCTGCACAATACAAAGACAAAAACAAAAAAAACAAAACAAAAAAAAAAGAAAAATCATCAGTAAGCCACCCTATATTACTATATCATATATATCTCACTGGATTGTTATCTGTATGTGCAAAAGTATCTCCTGTCCTGACACTCTTGACAAATGGAGCTGGTCTTAAATGGCCACTATCTGCACTTTGGAGTTGTCCTTCACGTCACATTTTGCAGCAGGTAAACTAATAATGTATCCTTCAACTCCACTCTGTGTGATTGGAACATACGCAAGGTAGCAGCTAAAATGGCATAACCTGGAGAATTCTACTGCAAAATAAATAAAAACAATGATAATATATGATCCTACAATAGCCAATAAAAGCTCTTTCTATACCCCCAGGTGGATAGATAATGCAATGTGCATGAAGTTCAACAGTGCTGACTATTCATAGTAAAAAGAACATATTTCATACAGGGTTGACCTCCATCTAGTGGCAGAACCACACCGCCCGAAATCCATGAAGATTAATGACCGAGGCACAACAACACAGGCAGGAGTGGTGATGCTAAACTGGACAACTGTGGACACAGCATAAGCTTATACAATATGTGGCCATACAGCTGACTGTGAAGCAAAGAAATGTGTGTTTTCACTGTGTTTAAGAACCAGAACGGGTGAAATAGCTTGAGTTAGATGCATTTTTTTTTTCAGATTGACATTAATTCTACTTCACTAAATCTTGAGGTCCAAATTATCGTTTATATCCAGAGCTTCTTTAAGAAAACAAATTATGTTACAAACTGGTCCACTGATTTCCTTTTTAAACCTGCAAGGATGAGCACTTCTTCATAGTTACATTTTTACATTTATTTAACTAATAAATAATAATAATAATAATAATAATAATAATAATAATAATAATAATAATAATAATAATAATAATAACACAGAGTTTACATTTTTGTACACCTGAAATTCATTTGGCTATAAAAAAAAGAAAGAAAAAAAAGAAGAAAAAACTCAAAGCTTCTCTCCAGAAGAAAGGCAAAAAGTTGAAGATTCAAATTAATGCATACAAGAAGATCTGATATGTGTATAACAGTTCAATGAGAGAAAGTGTCCAGCTCAAACAAGAGCTATCCAACACCAGTAAAGTCTTTGAAACAACGAAGGAACAACTTAAAGCACAGGACAATATAATGACTGAAATGAGAAACACAAACAGGTTCAGATCCAGAAGCCTGCAGAGACTCTCAAACCACTGATATTAGAGTTGGTGGAGATACAACTCACAAAGATAATGAGAAACTGTCCAGGAAGATGCAGGAGTTGTCTTCTGCACTCTTCTCAGCACAAGAGGAAATGCATTTCCTGAAGTTTCATTGTGAAAGTGAAAGAGCACATCGCTCCAGCCGCCCTAAAGGAGAGGATGTAATGGAAGAGTAGAGGAGGGCACCGGGGCACTACCTGCATAAAAGCACATCCAAACATTACCCTTTAACCTTTGCATTATGTTGTTCTCTTAAATGTCTGTGGTAGTTATTCATGTTTATTGTTTCAGTGTCAAAACTTGAATTCACGTCTCATCCACAGCTACAGTCACTTGATTTTAATTAATTGGTAAAGTGTAAATAGAAAATAAATAATAATATATGTTTAAAAAAAATTTTAAAAAGTGGGAAAAAATGCTTTTTCTTTTAATGGTTCATTTGCACCACTGACTACCACCTCATTATATTTATAAATCATGACAATGTTTTCAGTGACCATGGCTGGTTCCATAATGCAACCATGAAGCACCATCCTGTACAGAGTGGCTCTTGTTTTTATTTTCTGATCTGTGTTATAATGTTGTATCCTCATTAATCCTCATTTTGAGCAGGACCTTTAAAAAAACTCATAAGGACATAGAGAGCAGTGGGTGAAAATAGGGGTTAGGTGAAAACAGCAATTATCTGAGCAGTCCAGTCATGATTACACAAACATGTATAATTAAAATACAGATCTGAGTAAGTTAATGATGAGGGAATACTGTTATGAGATGGTAAAAATCTCATAAAGGTCCATTTGAACTAAGTATGTAGCACTTAAGTAATTTGACAACATTCTAGGGAACCCAGTCTCTTTTGTATGTCTTTGTGGTAATGTGTATAGACATTGTGATTTTATTTGCACCATTTTGCAAGTGGAAAAGGTTGTGTATTATAAATCGCATTAATCCAAATGTCATCTCATAAATTATGCACTATTAATCCATCTGCCGTGAAAGTTTTGGCTGTAAGAGGGTGTAGGTGGTTTTCACAGAGAAATGAAGAAACACGATTTAGTTATAAAAATGTGGAGGCTTAAGTTGAGTGACGGCTACACAGCGCTCCCATTAGCCAATTCAATTTACAAGTCCAACACTCCACTTGGTTCAGAATGAGGCCGGGCACTTCAAGCATGAAATATAGAGCTGTGTGGTGTTGACTCCTGAACAGCCCCAAACATTGCCATTTTCACTGTTTTGTGTGCTGGACATTACATTTTCTGGTTTCCACCAGTAATGCCATTAAAATGCTGTTGGGTTTATTTGTAACTTCTTTAAAAATGGTTTTGGTACAAATAAAAAGTAAAAAGTACTCAGTTAGGTTCTGAAATATTTGCCAGAAGCAATACAGGTATGAATGGTTGTACAAAAAATTCATTTGTTAAATAGTTTCTTAATACAGCAATATGTTTTAAGTTAAGATTTGGGTTTATTGTTAGAACATTGCAATTCATACACAAAAACAAAACAAAAACATTTGTGATAAGAGACAATAATAAAAAGTTACTGTCTGAATACAAGGTAACATGTTCACATTAGTACATACTGCAATTTGTTTAATCAAACATATATTACATTTTATAGACATAATTTTTTTTTTTTAAGAGTTTTTCCAGCTCGAACGCTTTATTTGTGGCATGAAATGAGGAGAGAAAAGGTAGAGACATTCAGACAGCCAGAGGTGGAGCTACAGCGCTGAGGTAATAACCACATGTGTCATGCCTTAAACCACTACACCACCGGAGAGCACACCGAAGCTTTTCTGTCAGTAGGAACATCAGTCTAATGTGCTATCTGCTGGATAGGACATCTCAGAGCAGCACTCATTTGTATGTGTTCATCTTTAAGAGAGATACTTAAGCCTGATGTAGGCCACAGTTTACATAGAGTTATTCTGCAGGAAAATGGGGATGCTGTCTCGACAAAGGCACTTGTACCACGTACAACTAATGAGTGTTGGACTGTCATGTTCACTTGACCTGTCAGGTCATATTGGTATGCCTGATCATTACCTATATTACTATTTATATTTGGCACTTTAGTCAGACTGTTACTCTGTGTAGCATTTTGACAACAGACATATGTTTACAAAAATATCCTGCAGATGGAGGAGGGTACTGGGAATTTTGTTCATACGGTTCCTTGGATCACACTCAAGTGCTGTATTGTGTGTGGTGCCAAGAACAAACACGTATGAAGGATGTGCAGGAGATAAAAAAGTATAAAAATACAGTGACAACAAATGTAAAATATATTTTCTGCTCAAAGCATATGTGAACTCTGGGAATTCTTGTTGAGGAAAACAACAGCAGATGCCTGCATTTCCCCCATCTCCTCTGAATAGTCCTGAAAGACCAAATGAAAAGAGATGACTCATGTTTTAGATTACACAGAATGATGCAGCAAACTTACATTAAATCTGACTTTCAATCCCGATTCATGTCCTAGGTCTGTATCATTCTCTGTAAATACAGAGTATAAATATATGTCATTGGTAAAACAAGTCAAATGCATTTACACTATGTATCAGACACATACAGGCTGAATCACTTACTCCCAGTAAAGTGTTTTGAATAGGCATAATCATATTGTAGTGTAGGGGTGCCTGACAGTAAAGGGATTTCTAAATATTTACATGCACAAGTAAACAAATAATTGTTCATTTAAAACACAATTTACATAATAAATGGAGACATTTTTATATTACCATGGTTTAAATTTATTTGAAGGATATTGAAGGATTGTGGCCAGTGTAAGACGTTGTCAGGCATCTATAACATATTCTGATACATTTAATTAAAAGAGATTGCAGTTTGCTGATGTTGCAGTAAAATTGCTCTACTGTGCAGCCCCAACTGTTCCATTATTTTCTGTTCAATATTCCCTGTGGGGTTGGTTCTACTCCTGTAAGGTTAAAATGCAGTGAGAATAGACAGAGACATCCTTACTGTGCAGTTTCCACATCCTTCGTGCAAATATGGCAAATCCCAGGATGAGCAGAAAAGCGGCGCACACCAGCAGAGCTCCCAGGATGTAACTGAAACACAGAGGCCAGGTTTAAGAGCAGCTCACGTCTAACTCCACGGCAACACAAAATGATGACAAATAGATAGTCCTTGGTGAGATGGCAGCATCATTATGTGTGCGCTCCACACAGCTGAACTTCACCTGAACTCCATTTTAATGATAGATAAGCAAGCATCCATAGTAAACAGCAGCAGTGGGAGCTTATACTGCTCTTGAAATGAACTTAACTGTCTCGGGCAAAGTTGAAAATGAACTTTGAAAGGACAACTGCATTTGACTGCTGTATATATTCAGTCATTGGATATGATTTTTAAATCCATGAGAAGATGAGGTCTTCATTGCCTGTTATAATAAATACATTTTAATGCAGGGACATTTTTCTTGGTGGGTCTGAGGGAGTGCTAAAGTCTTTCATGGGGGTGCTCGCAGTGGAGGGCCTCTGTTCTAAACAAGTTAAATTACCCTTTAGTTATTTATTTATGTTTGACTGGACCCAAGCCACCCAAGCTTACACTTACAGGCACACACGACATTCCAAATAATTGACAAAATGAAGAGGAGTCACCATTTTGGAGTAACTAGAGAGATTTGGAGAGATTGCTCTGTAGCACATATGGCACTGGGTGGGAAATGAAGCTCAATAGGTCAAAAGCAAACATAAATTTGAACAATAACAAAAAAAATTGACTAAGCGTAAGGTAGAAGCTATGCATGCCTGTGAGTTAATATTGTCCAAGACTTGCGAGTGTATTTACCTGTGAGTGTTCCAGGCATTGTTAGTGATGGGCTGAGGCACATTTTCAGTGGATGAAGTTGTGACAGGCATCACTGTTGCTGAAACACATACGTACACACAGCTGAAAATGTGGCTAGAGTTTATCCACACTGGAAGTAAACAATATGTGAGAGTCAGAAGTAAAGCCAACTTTAGTATGGCAGAGTACTCACAGTCTGAGCCGTGCTTCTGGCTGATGCAAAGTTACAATAAGAAATACATCCCTTTCATAAAGATAGAAAATTATTTCGTAGTAAAGTAGTAAAATCCCACTGACTGATGCTGATGCCACGACTGAATGTAACTCAATCTACTATGAATAAAACACACACATACAAATTTTATTTAAAAAAAAAATAAAAAATTTAAATGAATAACTTGTTTTGCTTGTTTTGTTTTGCTTATGTTAATACATTACAGTTTTAGATTTATTTTTCAATATTAAATTAATGAACATAGAGAAGACAAGTCATTTAAGACAAAATATAGTCAAGGATATCTTTCAAAGTTTGAACTCTGCCCCAAACTATTACTGATGGAAGATTGGCAGAAGAATAACAAGCTGTTCACTGATGAACGTATTAAAACTGAAGACTTACTTGTGATGATCCGAGGCAGAACCTGCAGGTGCACGGCTACCTGCTGCTGTCCCGCTCCACACCAGTACCAGCCAGTGTCCCTCATCTGAAGCCTCTTATAGGTCACAGCGAAGGCCCCAGATCTGTCGTCCCGTATGTCCACTGAGGTGTCTGTGTATGCTCCTTCAGAGTCGGTGAGCAGACAGGAGCTCCAGTCCCCGCTGCGGCACCACTTCTTTGGGCTCTCTCTGTCACAACAGAGGCAAAGAAGGCTGTCAGTCTGAAATGCCTTTGTGTGTCTGCTGCTTATTGAGGCCTGCCCAATTCGTTTCAGTGCACCAGTAAATTTATAACGGATCTCTAAGTAAATACCTGTATTTTTCACTGTAAAAGCACTCGACCATAACACTGCTTCCCTCTTCTCCAGTCAGTCTGCTGTGGAGCACCGACATACCTGCACACAGTACACCAACTCAATATAACTCTGTAACTTGTGTTCAAAACTTATCTGTCACTCACTATTACCATGTACACAATTCTGCAGAGAGAGGTCATAGACACCCTCAATCAGTTTGCAGTTATATTGTTACAGGAAAATGTTATTCAAAATAACATGATGAGGTTAATATGTTTGAAATCACAATTTTGTTGCAATTTTGGTGCAAGAAATAGGATATATTAGTATGATCAGTATATTAAGTCACTTTTTTCATATTTTTTTTCATATTTTTTTTCATATTATTTAAATATTAATACTAATACTAATACTACTACTAATAATAATAATTTGGTTTATTGCAACATGCTATTTTTATGTTATTGTGTGATATGAGATGTTTCATGGGCACTTTAACCCTTGAATAGTCAAAATCTACCCAAATCAAGTTAAATACTCTTATTTCAAGCACTCTTGTTATTTGTTATTGACTGATGTGGCACCACTTCTCTAAAGACTATATATTTGGACAGAAGCATAGTGCACACCAAATTAGATGCAATACAGTCATAAAAGTAGACATTTTTGTCTTAAGTCCTAATTTTGACCAGTAAGTGGGTCTCTCGTTAGTTATAATTGGGACACTGTGAGATGTCAGAGGAAGGAGTTTCCCTCACCATGAATGACCTTTATGTTAGTGAATGCATACAGATCTGCACTCCAAATGCCGCCGATCTCCACTCCACACATGTACCAGCCAGAGTCATCCTCTTTCAGTTGCGTCATGGTAACAGAAAAGACCAACTGCACTGGATCATCATAAATCATGACTTTCTGAGCAGATATTTCAGGGGTTCTGGGTTCATCTGTACGGGCCAGGCTGGTGCAGAATTCCTTCATACGCCCACGGCACCAGTACTTCACATAACCAGCATACTGTGGTTCATAATGGCATGGTATAGTGAGAGATCTGCCCTCCAGAACAGCAAACTCCTGCTCCGTGGTGACCCTGCACAGACAAACTGATACAACGGAGAAAACTGCTAACTGTTACATATCGAGTTTAGATGAGTGTTGAACTGATGAGGTAAGGTTCAGTTAAATAATTGACCATAGTAAGTTTACGTAACAGCTATCCAAAGTTTAATCAAGAAAGTTAGAATGAGAAGCAGAGAGATAAACATGTTATCTATGCTGGAAATGCAGACTTCTATACAGAGTGGTGAAAATGGATTATGTTCACACAATAGAGTTCTGGGTAGAAGACAACAAACATAAACCTTTGATGGCTTGTCAAAATGCATACTTGACTTGCCAGTAGGCGTTGCTCAGTTAGGAAGCTTGGATAAATCAAAATTTTAAAAATCACTTTAGCCAGAAGCAAAATGTGCACTCTATAGAAACTAGAATTCAGCGTGGGAAGTACGCCCAAGAAGTGAAAGTTAAGCCCCCTTAGAAAGCGTCATAACTCAGTAATAACAAGTGGAGTTATATTTGGTCTGGTGTTTCATTACCTTGAATCCATTGTAAAAAGAAAAAAGTAAGTATGAAATGTTGGTGCATGCCTAAATTATGGTTAATAAAACTGCAATTCCTGGCCAAATCCTCTGGTTGCAGAAGGCAGGTTCCGCTGGAGTTTCGACTTCCCTATAGTCACATGACCACTTATAGAGTCCAGATGTGCCAGATGTTAACTGTTGAGATACCAGCTGGATTGTAGCAACTAGTGCTTAACTGCAATAAACCAAACCAAAATCAAATGGGGGTAATAAGTGACTACTTTATTTTGCATCCAGGTTTTCACACTGATAAAATGCTCCATCACATCTAATTAAGCCCTGTTAGAGCAATTCACTTAGATTGGTTCTAGTCTCTGAAGTGTCACCAAAGTTATAGCATCAAATTGAACTTATTAATCTGTATAGCTTTATTGCTCTTTGCCTAATGTTATAAGTTTATTGGTCATAAGTTTATTTCTAAAGGCTGTCTAACTAATACAGTAATTTAAAACCGCACCACTGTGCTTTTTTAAATTATTGAAAAGGTTTTACATCTTAGACCTTTATTTTAATCAACGGAAGGTCTAAAAAGGTCCTGTACATTAGTCCCACTTTTTCCTCATGATTTGAGTGCAAGCCTTACTTAACGTTCCATTTTTCAAAGCTGCCCATTGCACTTCTCATCCAAGCAGAGAAGGCTTTTGGCAAGCTACAATAAAATTATTTGATTTTGATGCCTGGGCGCTTTGGATTTTGTCCAGTGTTCATTTGCTGGATTAATTTGCTACACACATACAGCCTCAGCCAGTCATTTAACAAACAATTATTCTAACGCGCTGTGCAGTGAGTCAAGGATGTCCCTGCAGTCTGTTGCTTTCTGTTTGGGCCATAAATACACAATGTAGGAAGTGTGGCCAGAAATAAATGTCAGTGCTAAGCAGGCACATCTCAGAATTGACTGCCTCAGTCCCCTCTAATTATGTAACCAAAGTCTGATCAAATTCTGTATTTTGCATGTATCCAAATCATCACATTGTTCTTTAAACTATAGTACAATGCTTATTCATTTGACCTTTGAAATATAGACTATTTAAATTCTAGCACCTGCATAAGTGTGAGCTAGTTTTATTACCAATAATAAAACTGCACTGGAGCAGATATACGTGACCTTTATGAGCACCTGAATGATGCATACCTTTGCCTTTTTCTAGTTATTAATCTTCTCACTAAAGTGGCATTCAGCATAAAACCATCAAAGTGCTACACACAAACTTTTTATCTGGTCTAAAGGTAGGCATTGGTCCTTTTTTTTTTTTTTTTTTAACCAAACATTTAACTCCTTACATGTTATACATTTTTATTTGTGTCAAAAGTGCAGATGGGAATGCCTTACAAATGTTCACATAAAAAAAAAACCAAATCAACCATCATCAGTAAGAAAATTGAACTGCAATTTGTCTGACAGATTCAAAACGTAGAGCTCCAAATCAGATGTCTTCAAAGCACCTCTCCTTATGGTTTTCTGTAAAATAAAAATAAAAATACATGAATGCCACACAACAGATTATTTAGAATTTATTATTACCATTTATATTTTTGCTTTTTGTTATTATAATATATTGTGAAGAGTGAGCTACTGTGTCCAAGTACCCAGGTGTCCAAGTAGTAGTAAATCTAAGTCTAAATGAATTCAAATACATTTTTCAGAGATTTTGTGTATAAGAGAAGTAATATATGATTCCCTTATTTTTGAGATTTTCATTGCCAACAACAAAATCTTTGTTGCAAATATTTCTGGAATATACCATTAAGAGTGTGAGCATGAATGCTCCTTTTTTTAAATTTAATTCAGCTAACTACATTTAGACAACCTAAAATCCTGTCCATGTTTATACATAATTTTGTTCTTTCTGTGTTAATACTGTGCTTTCTCTACACGGGCCCCTCGGCTGTGGAATGAGGAGGATGTGAGGTGATGTGATCTTTTTTTATTTTTGCATTTTATTGTTTAAATCCTATTTATTTTGATTGTCATTTCTCTCTTTCATATGCAATTTAAATATAAATTTAAATATAAATATTTAACAATGTTAATACAATCGATCTTCATCTGCTTATCTGGGCAGAAAAAGATGGATGGAGGGGTGTAAGAAAACAACAGATTCAGAGATATTTCATGGCACAATATACGAATAATTTTTTTTAAATAATCTTTTTTATTAAAATTCATTAGTTACATGCACTGTTCTCATGATTTATAAATGGAATTAAAAGCAGTTACTGATGAATCACAAAATATTATCCTTTGTTTTAGTATTGAGATATATTGTGATTTATCATATCACGACATGCATCTCATGGTACATATTGTATCGTCAGTCATATGGAAATGCACACCCCTTATGGATATTAATGCCATTAATTACAAACAAAAGAATACATTGTGTTAAAGTCATGTAGTATAGGCACAAAATGTATAGGTGCAATCCAAACCTTGTAAGCTGGAGAAGTGTCAGCTCTAACCAATGAAGTTCATCACAACCAGATGAAGAACTGTGTGAGCGAAGAGAAAGTCAGCAAAAGCCCTCTCCGGGGAGACGGACAAGAAATCCCCTTTGTTTTGCGGATTGATCTGGATCCTGAGACACACTGTAAAAAATACAGAAATTCATGTGAGAAAGGATAGTGCACTATAATTCAGAATTATTCCATTTCAGTAGTTCAAATGTGATTTACACTATAATTTACATGGATGCTGTGACTGCAGCTGTTAACATTGTCAGATCAGCATTCGCTGAAATCAGCAGCAGTAACAGTAATGTTAGCCTCCTAGCAGATAGCTTCGCCTGAACTAGCATATTAATGAGATAATATAATCAGAACAATACGACCTACATTTACAGTAACACAAACACATTGAAATCTATCTTGCCATTACCTGCCAGAATGAAAGAGCCCACGCATGAGATGAATCCAGAGAGAAAACTGTTGAATGGGAAGGTGCCGACCAGCAGACAGTAGAGAAATTGCAGGGCTCCAGTTAGCAAGATGTACAGCAAGTATGCATCCACCACCTTTAGTCTGTTGGGGGTTGTGGTGGTGTACTCCTCCAGAAACCGGGAAATAACCGATATGACTGAATTTGACATGCTTATGGTCTACAAAACCTGTCAAAAATATGAAATTGTCACTAGTCGACTTCTTCGGCGATTGGAAAAGTGACGTGTCTCCACCAACCGGAAACGACTGTAGTGCAACAAGGAATATTTTCCGACTTCATCGTGCGGAACCCTACAATTTTTGTTCACATCACTTATATCCGTAATGTTGAAAGTATTAGTTACAAGTATTGGAAATATATTTTGTAAATAATGTTGTAATTATTGATAAAAACCTATTTAGTAACGAAAGGTTACTTGTACCGACTATGAGAGCGCAGAAAGAAGATGTCTGACTCTTATAAATTCGTTTTGTTGTTTCTTGTGACTACTTTTTAACATTTATAACAGCCTACACTATTATCAGCATTATAATAAGTGTAGTGGTTAATATCAGTACATATAAAAGATTATCTGAGTGGGGTTGCCTTGCTTTCTCTAACAATGATGAAACGTTATGATACTGTTGCCATAAACGATCTCTGTAAGACACCAGCTGACCTGAGGATACGTAGTATGAGGTATGACCGTGTTACAAAACAACACAGGTCGTGTCTTTTTCAGCTAATATCTCGGTTTTCATGTGGATGTCAGCAACTAATGATGCTACCAATGGAGACAAGCACAACCATAGCGCCAGTACAGAACGACTGTGAGACATCAGAGTAAGTCATTTCTTCAGCTTCTCTGTTTGTGTGGGCATGTGCTCATTTTTAAATGGCCTTGTGTCACATATTTGGTAACATTACTGTTCTTAGTTACTGTACTTAGTTAATAGTTAACAGGTAACAATAACTTATTATAAGTTATTGTTACCTTTGTATATGTAGCGATATGAATTCGCAATGTGATTTTATGTTTACCTAATGTTAAACACAATTGTACCTACCTGGACAGGTGTTACGGTGTGAAACAGTATCTAATAAACAAAACTTTAACCTTCCCGAACTTGAATATAGAGTCCTAACTTTTTCTTTCAGTGGCTCTACAAATACTCTGTCTGTATTTATGTTTAATATATTATGCTGTGGATAGATTACATCAGAATACTACAGTGAAGTGCACTGTAATGGGAAGTGAGTGACTCAGCTTAATAGTCTTATTATTATGTAACAGGTGGAAGAAGGCGTGGCATATTTATTTTGCTAATGAAAGTATTCTTGCTCAGATCCTACACAGAGGTTAGCTGCACCCAAATGATAAAGCAGCTTCACTTTGACATAAACATTTACATTTTCACTGTTAAATAGCACAGTCATTGTAGATCTAAGGGAATCTTAGTGTAGCTTGATAAAGGTGTTAGACTCCATTAGAAAGACATTGTATATTATGAACTTGACTGTCTAATTCTTTGTACAGAATTTTACTTTCCTTGTTCTTTGTAGGTCCAATTTTGTGAGTAGCTGGTGGCCTTCTTGGCGTCCAACCTCAATGTCTTTATTGAAAACGACAGAATCAAAAATCCTTGCTTGTAAGACTGTGTTATTTCTTCTTGTTTATGTATTGTGTGAATGGTTTGCATGATAGATGGCACTGTCTGAACATTGAAGGAAATATGTTATAGTTATAGTTTTTGCTCTAAATGATCAATATTACAATATTGTACCAGGCATACAGAATGATTTATGGGCCAGATTTGTAACCTTACCCAGCCAAGACAGAATATGGACTCTGACTGTCACAAACAAGATGGCTCGTAAATCCCCAGAACAAGGTTTGGAACTTCTGCTATGTTTTATATATATATATATATATATATATATATATATATATATATATATATATATATATATATATATATATATATATATATATATATTTTTTTTTTTTTTTGTATACACAAAATCAATGTCACATAACTAATATATTTTTGACAGTGGCCAAAACACCCCTGGTGATGGTGCATGGTTTTGGAGGAGGAGTCGGGCTCTGGATCAGGAACCTGGATGCACTCAGCCAGTCACGGCCAGTCTACGCCTTTGACCTTCTGGGTTTTGGCAGAAGCTCCAGGCCACACTTTCCTTCAGGTCCTGCTGAGGCTGAAGAGCAATTTGTCAACTCTATTGAACAGTGGAGAGAGTCTGTGGGCCTTGAAAACATGATTTTGTTGGGTCATAGTCTTGGGGGCTACTTGGCCACTTCATATGCAATCCAACATCCATCAAGGTACTGCACAGTATAAATCAGCCAGTCTTACCATAACAAACTAAGTGATTCAAAGACATTTTAAAAATGAATATGTCTGTCTTAGTACAATTTTAAAATAATTGTTATTGCAGAGTGTCACACCTCATCCTTGTAGACCCCTGGGGCTTCCCAGAGCGACCACAGCCGCAGACAGATGAGTCCTCAAGTAAAGAGGTGGTAAAGCGGCCCGGTCCTCCGCGCTGGGTCAAGGCTGTTGCATCAGTGCTTTCTCACTTTAACCCTCTGGCTGTCATCAGAGCAGCAGGGCCCTGGGGTGAGCTGTGTTTAAAAATGTTTATCTAAACTAAAGCTGGACTCCATCAGCTCTCTCATCATTTTCACTGTTTGCACAATTTCAGGTCCAGGACTTGTAAACAGATTTCGGCTAGATTTTAAAAGGCGTTATGAGGACCTTTTTGATGATGACACTGTCACAAAGTATATCTACCACTGCAACGCACAAAGCCCAAGGTTTATACAATTACCACCAAAAATATTTTAACATTGTGCTATATTTAATAAATTGCATCGATGTGCCATTTTCTTTTGTGCAGTGGTGAAGTGGGCTTCCGGGCCATGTCTGAGGGTTTAGGTTGGGCAAAGAGACCTATGCTGCATCGTGTTCAGTTGCTGCCTCCTAAAATGCCCCTCTCTATTCTGTATGGCGCTCAGTCTTGGGTGAGCAGCTCATCTGGAGAAGAGGTAGCCCAAATCAGGAATCAGGCTTATACCACAGTGGCGGTGAGTAAAATTAAGTTATACACAAAGTAATGAGAGACACAGGTGGCCACCCAGGCAATAATAGGAATAACTGGCTTCATAACAGGTGTAAGGCTTGGAACAATTTTACAATTAATATAAATTTGCTCTATACATTTACATTAGGAATATCTTAATCACTGTAGCCATGACCATGTTTTCCTTACAACTATGATTCTCAAAATTAATAGAAAATAATGTAATTTAATATATATTTTTCTTAAACCAAACTCTAAATTAGTGCTGTTTCAATATTTTATTGTAGATTCTATGTATAGACAAACCTATGATATCTAATTTGAGTATTCTTATTATTTATATCTTTTCTCTTTGATTCCAGTTAATAAAAGATGCTTCTCATCACGTGTATGCTGATCAGCCACATTTATTCAACGAGGCAGTAGAAAATATATGTAATACAGTGGACTAACTGCATGTCAGTGTCTTCTGGTATTGTATGTTAAAGCATTGTTTTGTATCAAGTTATACACTAATTTATACTTATGACCTTCTCAACAACACAATCAAATATCTTTTTGTTTAAACCTATTCCTTTGGTTAATATTTGACAGTAGGTAATTTAATAGCATCCACATTTTTATCTTTGTTAGAATCTGTTTGACCTCAATATGTAATATCTTACTCTCATTTTATAATATGTGCCTGACACAATTCATTGAGTGCTGTATTTTTGTTATATTTTAATATTATGTATGTGGTGTTTTATTACTGGAATAACTTCAGAGTGTATTTTTTTGTATTTAAAACCCATGTAATGCACCTATGTAATGACCTAACCAGTAGAGGTCAGTAACAAGTCACTCTATGATCAGTATGCTGCCATCAGTCACCATGCACTCTGCAATAATAGCTGTTGGGTGTTTGTGATATATTCTTTGAATGTATTTTGTTCAAACTTAAACTGACATCATTTATGCTGACGATTGTAAAGTAAATGCATGTTGTACTTTTGTTAGGTAAATATGTCATTTTACAAAGCTGTATATTCTCTATAATAAAGCCATTGTTGTAGGTTTCTGAAATGAAGGTGTTGATTTACTGGACAGTGCCAAAGTAACTTTTACTATAGTGAATGAATACATTTATTTTTGTCAAAGGAAGGCATATACATACCCACTTTATATACCAAAGTATTTTATTACTGCAAACAATACAAAAATACAGTTACATAAATATTATTATACGAATAGATATTCCATTCACATTATTGAGAGCTAAGTGTTGACTGTGACCTGGTAACTCTAAGGACATACTATAAAAATGAAATGGTGAAACAGTGATGAAGTGCATCTTCAGTGTATGAACAATGAAGAGATATTTAAAATACATTTCATGGAACAAAAACACAATGACTTCTGTAAATAATAATTCTAAATGATAATTCTGTAAATATACACAGTCAGTCACTTATTTCTAAATGCTAACATTTCTATAATTTTCACAGTACCCTTCATTAGTGGCAACTTGATTTTGTAGATAACAAAATTCACATAGTAAGCATACATATAAAGCAATGTTAAAAGAAATACTGCCAAATAAAGTTTTGCCTTCAAATATTAGTGTTACGGCATTCAGTGTACAGTGGTTTAACACATTTACAGTAAAGGGCATGTCTGCATCTGCTCTGTACAACATGTTACAACAGAGCACCACATTTTTCATTCAAAAAGCTTCAATTTAAGCATAATACTGTTGGCGCTACAGCTTCAATTAATCATTTTCATAGTCAAAAAGTGAGTTTACAAAAAATACATAATTTATGAATTTATGTTATAGAAACTAAGTATATTAATACATAGGTTATAAGAAAATAGTCTAATGTCATAGACTACTATTGTTCAAGGACAACAATATCAGCCACTCCATGGACCTGGGTGAGCTGTTTACAATCCAGAGATGCCACCAGCTTCTTGAGTCCGGGCTGAGTGGGGATGAAGTGCTCTGTCAGTGTCACTGTAGCAAGGCCTCCTACATCCCTGCAAACAATGAAGGAGAGTTCAAGGTTCAAATGATGTAGCCATAGAAAAAGAAATCAAATGAAAAGCATAATGCCTTACCCCACAACCACCACGTGACCCTTCTGTAGACCCAGGCCCTCCACTCTGAACACCACATCCTTCAGAGTTTTTGGCAGTGGGTTGGTGAATGTGATTTTGGCTGCCATCTCCTTACCAACCACAGCTTCACCAAGTGGCTACATGAGGCACACAAAAGACATGCATTAGGGTATTTAAATCCATGTATATGATATCAAATGTTAACAATATGATATAAATATGTACAGTGATTGTCAGGTCAGGTGTGCGGAGCCTGAAGGTGGTCTGGTTAGCCAACACCTGCTGAGTTTCATTGACTCGTCCAGAGAGGGTCAGCATCAGGGCCGCCTGGTCCACAAGCTGGTTCTGGTATTGTTGGTATGGGAGCACCCAGTCAATGGTTTTCTCTGTAAAATTAAAATACAGAGTCAAATCTTTTTCTTTAAGGGGGGCTCAAGCAGAGCAGGCATAACAGTAAAAATGACTGTTGATGATTGCTCATTACTTTTGCAAACAGGACAGCCTCCTGGCCAATAAAGTGTGCCATAATTACACTGCCCTGTCCAATAAAGCTCAGTGAGAGCTCACCTTCATTGGGCTGGAGCTCCACTGACATCTGCTCCTTCTTAATGGTGCCCTTGAGCACACCAGTGTAGTACATGACTGCCACCTGGCTGTGCAGCGTGGTCTGGCGTGGTTTTGTACTCAGGTTCTTCACTACAATGGTGAGCTGGGCGTCCGCTCCCATCCTGGGTCCTTCCCCGGCCATCTTGACCTCCACACTCACGTCTTCAGCACTTGGAGCAGAGTACACATCTGGCTTGCTGCCATAGCGGCTGGCTGTTTCCACTGCAATGCGTTCCTCTTCTGAACCTGGAGGAGAGATAGAATAAAGAGAGCACAATTTGTTCTGTCAAAAGTTTCAGGATTTATTGACAAGGTTAAAACTAAAGAACTTATTTCTTCCAAACAAAGCATGGCTAAAGTATGGAAATGAGCAGTTCAAAGGTACAAGTTAAATCAATGATAACTGCTGAAAGGTATCTCAATATTGGATTAGAATATAGTTGGAGAAACAGTGTAATTAAAGGCAGTACCTTCCTGGTGTTTATACAGGTGTGTGATGTCTGCACGCTCGTCTGAGCCCACGGCTTTAGTGCTGATGAAGTGGCCCACTGCTTTCTTCTCACTGTAAATTTGGCTGAAAGTCCCGTCCAAGTTCCTCTGCCAGTAGATCTTGTCGCTGTTGACCTGAATGGAAAATATGATTCAGCTAAATGTCTAAGAATGAATCCTATTAAGAAGAGCTCTCTCTTTTACCTCTGCAAACACAAAGGGAGTGTCGTGCTTGAGGTAGACATGTCCTGTGCGAATGGCGTTGATAGAGGCTGGACCACAGCGGAAGGTGCCCTGACTGGTCTCCTGGGGAGTGGAGTCCACTGCCTGCCAGCCTCCATTACCTGGAGGCAGGTCTGGTCTGGCCATCCAGCAGTCGTTCCACACATGGAAGTTCCTAAAGTCAGAATTATTTAAGAAATAAATTCTGAGAGATAATTTTATATGAACTATATATATATGCAAGTCAAACTGAAGGAGTAGATGGCAAGTGGCCCTTTAATTAGTATAAACATGAAAGGACAAGCTAATACGGTTATAGACTCATTTTAAATGTAGCTTCATAAACTATGTCACAGCCACATATTCCAAAATGTTCTTTATATCTTTTAGCTGCATCTTTGTCATTTGTTCATTCTGTGTTCAAAGACATTTCATGACACCTAGGTGTTGGAGTTAATGAGAACTGCTCTAAATATATATATTGCAATCCTACTTTTAGCATCAAGCAGCAAAAAGTGAACATCTTCTTACCAAACAGAGTCTTTGTTGAGGTAGTCGATAGGTTCCAGATTCTCATCAAAATACACATCTGTGGTGAGTGACACATCTGTATCATGAGCTGATTGGAAGTTGGTCACACTGCGGGCAGGTATGCCAAGACAACGCAACACTGGAGAAACAAAATCTATTAAGTACACAAGGAAGTAACAACCTCTAATTATCGACTAAGATGCCACAGTATTATTATTGTGACATTCAATATTATTCCTACGCTGATTTGGCATGTGTTGTACTATGCTGTAGCTCTTAAATATGCTTAATTTATTTTTAATATAACGTTTACTCCTTTACATCAGCTCCATCACACTTTCACTTAATGCTTTCTTTGATTCAAATTGGGAAAAAAACATTGTGTGACAGAGACAGTGAAATTGGTTGGTCTTGTATTTTTGTAAGGAAATCACCTACTAAATCTCTTTATGATGGCCCTATTCTTTGGTCCATAGAGCATGGTGATGACTTCCAGCAATAAAAATGTTTGGCCTAAACAGCACAGCAGTGTATTTGAAGTTATTATCCAGGCTGACTGAAAGCAACACATGCAGCTCTACGAGTGACAAAAGTAGTAGTGGAATGGTAGGAATGCCAATGTATTTTAGGTGTATATGAGCTATGGCCTGCTATCAGGGGAAACACTATGTGCTGGGGTCAGCGGGCTATCATGTGAGAGACACTGCCTGCATGTTCAAAGAATGAAGAGCACTGTTACAGCAAGCTAAATGAAAAGGGTCTGATACACTGCGGGTCAGTTTGGTTACAAATATTAAACAGAAAGTGAACTCTGAACAACCTTTGTCAAAGTCCATGCACATAACTGTTCTTTGTGTCCAATTACCCTTCACACCTTCTATATGTGCGTGGTTTTAGATACGCACCTGTCGTTGTGACCCCTGAAAAGACCCAACATTGTCCATAACACACAGGTGTGCCATAGGAAGAGTGGTATTTCTTCAGGATCTCAACACTGCTGCTCCACGCAGCTGGGGACACACCATCTGAATAGTCCCCTGACCAGTTCCCCACCAAAACACCATGGTCGTCCTGAGCATTTATCTGTAAAGAGTATGTTAGGTTATTATGTTGTCATACTGGTGACCATACTGGCTTGTCAAAACCTGATCCCATCAGATCTTAGAAGCTAAGCAGGGCCGGGCCTAGTTAGTACTTGGATGGGAGACACCAGGTACCACAGGGGGGCACCAGTCACAAAAACTGTTGCCCCAGGGCAGCTGTGGCTACAATAGCAGCTTACCACCACCAGTGTGGAGTGAATGAATAAGTCTTTGAGTGTCCAGAAATGCACTATATAAAACCAATGCATTATTATTATTATTATTATTATTATTATTATTATTATTAGAGTAGTACTATGTGTCACCAATCGTATTGCTATGTGTTCCTGAAATAGCTAACTGGATGCTATGCCTGGCATTATGTTACATAGCAAGGTGGTTAAATAACACAATGGATATTTAGAGCTGTTTAGAACTCGGGTGTAGCTGCAGTTATTTAGAGCTCTCCATTTTCTATCCCTTTGCTTCTTTCTAGGCTCAGGATCACCACAACAAATAATGCATTATTTGGAAAAAAAACAAAAAAACAATCCTCACCATGGCAGATATAACTCGGACCACATTGACTGGATCACCACGACCAGAGGGAGGCATGTCACTTTTCTCCAGAATGAACAGGCAGGCCTCAAGCATCCCTTCATGAAACTGCAAATTACACACAATTTATTACGCATGTCTTCAATCTAACCCTAGGCACAATGAAGACAATAGCTCTTATAAAGTTTGATGACGAAAAACGGAAATGCTGCTAAAACATTTGGCTATGTAAGGCTGTGTGCGTCATCAAATTATTCCAGCAATTTCCCCCAGTTCAAAATTATCCCGTGAGAGTAGTATTAGAGCAGACTCTTATTTCAAGTCACATCTTGTCATCAAAGTCAATAGTACCTGCCCAAAATTCCACGTGCGGGCGCCGATTTGTTTCTCTGTTCCGTAGTAAATCCGCCCAGTATCATTGAGCACATATTCTTTCCTCTCATCCTCATCATCCAGGAACACTGTGTCCTCTGTAAAAATGAGAAATACAATCAGATTTTGGCATAAGACAAGCAGATTTGGGTGTTAAAAAGTGATTCTAAGTTATCTCAAGTTTAGAAAAGATTGAACAAAGATGGGATGGTTGGGAATGGACAATGGTTAGGATTGTCGTTTTATTTCCAGGCTGTGAGAGTGACCCTGAATTTCACCTCTTGAGTGACAAAAGCACTGAGGAATGTCTTTTCTATTCATAAAAAGCAATGAAAGGGTCCCTAAGGCCAGGAAATTGTTAAGAAACACAATGACTCCAGACCCTGCAGTGGGGCCCGAGGCAGTGCATTCATTTATATGTATCTATGATGTGCACACTTTCAACTGCACGTTCAAGTTCAGTGCTGACATGAGTGAAGCAAAATACTATTCCACTACTTGTATCTTTGTTATTAAAAGTATATACGGAAATCACAGTATGCAACAAAGTAGACCACCTGAAGACAAAGTGTCAGAGAGTTCACACAGAAGGGAAGTCTGAAGTTTACATTTTTTACAGCTGCAAGAAGAAAGAGGGGAAGTTTTGCTTAGGAGGCTGTGAGATGAGGGTGGGGTTAAGGGAAGAGAGTGAAGTACACTGTGTCAATTATAATAGGGATAAACGATCAGTGTTTGATAACTCTGTCACAACTGCATCATTCGTTCATATTAAAAGCACGATAAACTTATATTCAGTTCAAGTTTTGAGAAAAGAAAATGCAAATTCAGCTTAAGAAATTACTACTACAATACTGTGTCTGCCCAAAGCCTGCATAAATGAGGAGACTTGTAGAAGAAAACCCCACACCTAAATATTGAGCTAAAGAAAACTTTTTTCCTTTCAAATGCCAGCTAGGAAATTACATTATTATAGATTGAATTTATTCTTATATAAATCAAGTCTGTTGATGTTAAAATAGCACATGATGCAGTGCTGTAATAAACAATAATAAAAAAAAAAGGTTAATTGTGATTGTTCATGTTTACACAGAGGATTACAGACAGAAAAACACACACCAGTCAGTGATAAGAATGAAGGGGAGGATAGGGAGTCAAACAAGTAAGAGGAGGCTGCAGGGTTGGGTCCACAGATAGCTGTTGTGGGAGGAAATACAGCTGGAAACAGTAAAGCAGGGTGGAGTTGCAGGATTAGCTGTTAGCGTTTTTATGCAGTCATCGTGAGTTTGGAATTTATAAGAGTTTGGGAAGGATGAAAAAGATTGAGAGGGATTATTCAAAGAGTTGGGCTATCTGCCAAAAAACTACAATAAAAGACAGACGGGGTTCCTGTGCCAAATCCATGCCAGAAGTTATTTATGTGCAAATTCACTTCTTTTAAATAACCTGACATTTCTGCAGTGGTCAGCAAACCTTAAATAGCATGAATAAAAGAACAACCATACATCCATGATACAAATGATCAAAACATAATGCTGCCTTGTACATGGGCAATAAAAAACACGTATAAAATGGCATAGTTCCTGCTGCACAGATGGTATGGTTTCAGCTGCATCTATGTTGGCAAAGTGCTAATTAGTAATACCAAGTTCCCCCAGTTACCAGTAAGGCTATAGATTATATTTAAAGGTGTACTGTGTAACATTTCTGGTTGTTTCCATTAAACGTATCTATCCCCAAGTTGCCATTCAGTTCTCTGGAGAGGCAACCTTGCTCACAGTAAGAATGCATGTTTTTCAGCTTTATAGATGCAAGATAGATATGTTTAATCGCATTACTATGGAACATTTCAGGCCATGCAATAACAAGTTTATGGTAACAAGAAAGTAGCAGACTCCCTCTAGGAAAGTTACAAAGGGCTAAAAGACTTTTTTTTTTCAATGGTCCGAATCAAATGGAATAATATAGTTACATAGGCCATTTACTAGTAGTACATTAGTTTGTTTATATAATCTTTTCTGCAGCAAACAATCTGTCTCATCTAGTAGGGATTGGGACATCAAAATAAAACTTAATCAAATGACTGAATAGTTGTTGCTTATGTTGTTCATTCAGAACATAAATCAGGGCATCTAAGAAGCAGGCACTGTTTAATATTGGAGAGATGTGCTGGTAAGAGAAAGGGCAAATCCATACAAAATTGATCATGAGCATCTGTATTTGTACAGAGCAAACATTGATAAAAACGTAACAATCTCACCAAAATGTTAAGGCCAGACACGAACCCTCCTCTCACTTGGGGAAACAGATATCATGTCCTACTCAAGAATGTCAATAATTTTGGTCCAAGTCAGGAGCCAGTCCCTGGGAATCTCTGCCAAAGCAGTTACATAACCCTTAGAGCTGCTCTCGGGTCACGGGGTGGCGTGTGATGGACAGCAACACACTCACTGACAGGGCTAGCATTTCTCATCCATGTGAAATATTATTCAAGAGTCCTCGCACAGATTGCATTTTGTGAAGGCTTCTTCTTGTGCTAAAATTGTGAGAAAATCATGCCAAGACTTCTCAATGCATTTGGTAACATTGTTTTTGCTAAAGAATACAGCTTAAGAGTCTATTTGACAGTTTTACTCTACTACATCTAATCACAATAGGTAAACTCTGTGTGCTAGAACCAAACCCAGGTAAATGAACAACCAAAATAAAGTTGTGAATATAAGTGCCAAAGGAAGTGGATGTTTTGCAGGAAATGGCAGAAGGGAAAGTCATTATACCAGCAAAGCACCACATTATAGCACCAGTGCTTGATATCATTGTTTGTCTGCCTGTTTGTCAGTAAAAGTACAGAACCCAGGGCAAATAAGTGATTAATTTAGTTAAACGTGCACTATGTAACATTTAAGGTGGAGGGTGCAACTTTAAGTCATCCTTTCATTTTGGACAAACTGTATTTCAACCACGTCTCATTTGGATGAATTTCTTCGTGGCTGGTCTTACCTTCACACCATGGGTTAAACAGCATCACAATGTGCTTGGGTGAGTTGTAGGTGGTGGGGCTGTTCCCTTTGAGTGAGCTGGTGACCACAGAGACCCCATACAGGCCCACCACTGCGGAGGCTGGAGAGTTGACTGACAGCTTGATTTTGTTTTCAGTCTGCTCCACAATTTTGGCTTCCCAGCACTCATCCTCCAGGTCATCTACTAGAGGAATGATGACATGTGTGCCTTTGGACACCAGTGGCAGCCCCCCTAAATCAGAGAGAGCAGAGGTCAGTCATAAAGTCAAGTGAAAGCTACCAGGACAGAGACAGATAAAGCGTAACACAGGCGGAGTGCCTGCTGAAACTTTCAAAATTAGTCAGTACAAATTAGTATTTTACATGGAAAGAGAAATGTATTATCTGTCTTAATGTATGGTTGCATAAGAAAATGTGTCCTACATTGTTAAAATCTTACAACTTGACAGAAGGAGTGAGTGCCTGCAGTGCATTTCAGGGGAACCTAGAGGGAGAGTTTTCTGTTCCCACTAACATCATTGTGAATATTGCTACTTCTGCTACCAGTATTACATGTACAAACAAAAACAATGGATACAACAAAATGACAATTGCTGTTTGACCTGCTGCCATGAAATCAAATTCTGTGGATTTTAGTAACAACTCAAATACTAACTGGTTTTGTTGTAATCACCATGATAACTGGGTTTAAGTATTGATATTCACTTTCATTTATTGGATTTCAAATTTATGACAGCCTTACAAGGTGACACAGAAAAGAAAAAAGTGATTGTGTATCCCAATTGTCAAACATTAAAATACAGAAATTTGCAGAATAGAGCTAGAAGATATTTCGAAGTCAATAAAAGAACCTTCTCTCACATTGCCATTCATCACTAACAACCTGTCCAGCCACACAAAATGAATTCAAATGAGAACTGACACACGCTTGTGCATAGTTTGTTTTTGAAAAGAAAATTGTGACAGCGCAGCCTAGAAGTAGCACTTATCATTTTTCAATATTGAGAAGCTACTTACTAACATAGCAGTAAGTGGTTTGTTTGTGACACAGTAATTGTAGTTTATAGTGAACAGTAAGTCACAAAAGCATAACAGTCTTTTATGGTTTGTCAAAATAAAAACAAAGATATTTCCAGAGAGACTGCAAGCCTTATCGTTTGAAACAATGAATTATTGACTAATTCTCTGTGCATTTCACTTGTAATTTTCTCTCCTGAGCATGAATGTACAGTACTATGTCCCCACCCTATGTGAATAATCTGAAGTGAAAAAGGATCTGTTGTACGATGACGCCATAACTTCATAATCCCATGAGGACTTGTAGTTGGGGTTCTGTAAATACCAGAGGGAGGTATCTGTGCTGCACGTCTGGAAACTATTAGCACAGGACTGTGGCTGGAATCCAGAACTTGTGCAGCAGCTACAGCCGGACCACAGCTCCACTGCACAAAGCATTTCAACCTCAATTCCCACACAAGTTATAGGAAGGTGTATTATGTAAATTATTCAAATGGTTTACATTAGCAGTAGTTTATTGCATTGGGATCAGTCAGCCTGGTTAATATTCCATGGCCTTTACATGATTTTTTTCCCACTTTGATAAGTTAATGTTGTTATTGCTAACCATATTCCTTTTATGTAAGATGAAGCTGTGTAAAGTAGGCCTTTGCCATATGACAAAAATGTCATATTGATAGATTTATTTTGTCTTCCAATACTCCATTAAAAAGTGCATTTATTATTATTATTTTTTTATATTATCTTCCTATATGACAGACTTTTAATTAAATGGTAATAATTATTATTAATTATTACCATTTAACTAAAAACATGCAAGTCTGAGCTCCAAACCACCTGATTTTACTGACAGAGGGTTCACTGCAGACCTCTTGATTAAAAATACTCAAGCTGACAATTGACAATTATAAATTATTCATCATCTTTTTCATATCCATATTCTGATTTGCGTATTTCCTATAACTTCCAGCTATTTAAACTTAAACACCTTTTACCTGGAAAATGCCTTTTAAACAACCTTGTCTCCACATTTTTAACAGTATTACTGCATTGTGCATCTATAATCTATACACTCAATATTCAATACCTGTTTTGAGTTCTAGGTGCAGTTTGTCGGTGTCAGCGCAGTAAGGCCGGTTGAGCTCCACTTGGATCTGGAAAGTCTGTCCTCTGCGGATGATCAGCTCATCTCCATGGAACAAGTCCGTGTGGTGTTCCTTCCTGTTCGGATCTGTTTGAGAGCTCAGCAGGTCCACGGAACACACAGACAACTTAAATTCTGCAACAATAAGTCAAGGTCAATTAGAAGGTGGGATTTATGGCCTACATAAAGTAATTATAGTTTAGTGAATCATATCCTAGTGAGCAAGTAAAAACAGATATTAATCATAAATCACATCAAGACATCTGTATTCAGAGTTTTAAAGGGATAATTCTACATGACGTAAACTAGTCTGATTTGCACTCTTGCCATTACATGTCTATTCCTGTGACGTACCATCCATTTCCTTCATTTCAACTTTTTCAGTCTTGAGTTTTTCTGGTTCAGGGGTGATTGGGGCAGGGGTAGGGGGTTTGACCAACTCCACTTTATCTGTGACGTCATATGAAGTGCTGGACTGCCTTTTGAAACAGCATGGGCACATCTTCTTAAACCAGCGTTTGCAGCCTGCTTCCTCTGGCTTCTTCTCCTCTTTGTGGATGGTGAGCTGCACGCGGGTGGGGGGCGCCGCTCCAGGAAACCGACCCACATCTGACATGCTCCTCACTGACAGACGCTCTCCTGGCATCCTGCACAAACATACAAAAAGAAAATACTTGTATACTTGAATGAGTTATCTTGACTTACATAGATGTGTTATGGCTTATGTTTCCATACCTGCAGATACATTCACCTTAAAATGGTTCAATTAAACTTGTCTTGACTTGAGTTATCATGATTTACATAGATGTGTTATGGCTTATGTTTCCATACCTGCAGCTACATTCACCTTAAAATGGTTCAATAAAACTTGTCTTTTTACTTTTAGGATACCATTAATTATAACAACTTGAAACACAGAGAAAGAAAATATCAGTAGCTGACTGACAGTAACTGTATAACTGTCTGTATGAAATGCAACTAGCTGGTTACTGTCTAAAGAGTACTCTGCCTAAGGTTCAAAGTCACGCTCCAGAAATAAACCTGAACTTTTTGCCCTTTCGAAACACCCCACTTCCTTTTATTTCTAATTGTAATGAAAAGAACAATTTACTTTTACTTTTGCCTGCTCCCACAATTACCACATTCCTGATTTGCACTCAAGTGGGTCAACAGACTTTCTCAGAGCATTCTTGGATATCTTGTCTTTCACCCATGTGAAATGTGTCAACATGGAGAAGTTGAAACTCAAACTATGAAGGCAAATCAGGACTATAACAACACAATTTAAATGTAGATTGTAATTTAGCAAAAAAAAAAAAGTATTTTCAACATTCTGAAGATAAGGAAGATAAGCTACTGCTCACTTCATTCTATAGTGATAAATACCTAAGTAGCTACTATTATAAAAAACTTAAGTACCTACTGTATCAACAATGATAATGAAGTCTACATACACACACCCTTTCCCCTAAAAGGCCACTGTTTGGGTGGTACACCCCATTAAATGTTCATTAAAACAACATTAAAGCACCATAAAGAGTGGTTTAAGCAGTGTGCTATAATGGGCTGCAGAAAGAGGTGGTACGTCAGCAAGATCCTGGAGATATTAAAAAACACACATGCTATTTTATTGTGCAATTAAATATTCTAGGTTTCAGCATGTTTTTGGAAGGTATTTCATGATATAGCATGGACTGGTATGCACACCTTACGTAACATGGTGAGAGAAGTTAAGATCAGCCTAACTGCTATAAAGTGAAATTTTTGAGTAATCCCGGTCAGTGTATCAATCCAAACAGCTGGAAAGAGCTGAGTCTGTTGCATCAACAGTTTACTCCATTCATATGCCATTTGACTTCACTCAACCTAGATGCTTTCTCTTTCAAATAAAAAAGTATAAAATGTTTGATGACATAATTTGTTTTAAGCAGACAATTAACGTAACCTAACATGAACAGTAAGAAAATGCGGAAAAATATGCTTCTTAAAATTGTTTTCATGTAAGGAACCACCTGCTTCCTAGAATGTGCACAATGCCAACCTAAATTGCCATTAAGGACTTGGGACTGGTGGGACTAGCAAAATTGCATACTTTTTTGGCTATACTTGGCTATATTCAAAACTCAAAACTATTCAAGAAAAACACTTTATTGTACATGGATTAAGTATTTATAATGGAAGACACTGGCAAAAATATTTCTTCAAAAATTCCATTCTTTTTACTATTCATTCTTTTTTTTTTTCTTTTTTATTAAAGTCTAGTTATCTTCCACACACACCTTTGAGAGGCCTCAGATTTGCCAATTAGTGTCATCCACTGAACCTGAGAAAAGCCATTCCCCCACAATACCTCTGTGCCTCCTGTTCCTGCTCACACATTCATGCACAAACTTAAATGGAGTCACCAGTGAGGCTTGAAATTGTTGCTTCTTCATCTTTCTTCTTTCTCCCTACATCTTTATCAGTACCACATGTACAACTTCTGCTTTTTTAAATTTCTGCACTTCCTGAGATAAGTCTTTTTCTAAATAATAATTAGAGTGGCAGTAATTTTCCTTGTGGAAATACATAATTATAACTGAGGGGTTGCTACAAAACCAAAGCTAACCAAAAAAGTCTCCTAGTACAACAGCTGCTCACAACTCACAACTGACAGACCAAATGACCGGTTTTCAAACAGTGATATGAGTACATAACAAGGTTAAATTATTTCATTCTACTTTCTACTTTCAACTCTAAAGTATAAAAACAAAATCCCAAACTTACTTGGCTTTAATCTTCTACTCTTGTCCAAATCACAGTATGCTTCTTTTGTTAACTTGTAAACTGTTTAGTGCCTGTTCTTTGAATATTGATACCTCTTATATAGCAGTCCGAGAATGCAATGCCTTGCCACAAACGCCCCTTTCCTCTCTCTGCCCCACCCTTAAACTTCCTCATGTTAACTCCCACACAGCTTCCATGCGCTTGACTCTTACCGCGTAACAGAGCTCACATAGCGTAAGTGAGTTAGAGTTAAGGCTGAATCACAGACTAGCAAATAATTATTACGCAATCCTCTGGCCCTCTCTTTCCAATTCAGGAAGGGAGTGGGGGGAGGCTGATAGGAAGAGAATGGGCACAGATGTGTTTAGACTCGAGATGAGGTTACATTTTTATGCAAATGGTAAATAAATAAAAAATACATGAGCTGTGGAAATTCTAGTGAACTTTCCAATGACTCTGAATCACTTTGTGGTGGTGACTTAAGACTTCTGCAATCACTTAAATTACTGTAAGTACTTCTTTTCATGAGGCATACGTCATAAACCTCACAAAGAAAAATATTATCCAAATTGCTGTGTTTCAGAAGACATCACAGCATTCCAGTAGTAAGGAATACAGATGCAGTGGTGAGAATGAATATTGTTAAAATGCAAAATTCTATTCTAATACAGTCAGTTCTTGGGTTTAGACAATAATTGAAAATACAAGGTTTAACATTTGTGCATTTTGGACATCACACTTAACAACCCTCTTAAAAGATGAAATTTGAATAAAACATGTACTTTGTAGTAATGTTTACATCTTTAAAATGTTATATTTTGGACCTCAATATCATTAAAATAAGAAAATGCAATCGTAATAACTGACAATATACTTGTAAACAGATTTATTTTCCTATAGTAGACACGGGAGGGGTACTTGGAGCGTGAGACAAAATTTAGGGGGTACTCAAAAGAACGTTTGGGAAACACTGAGTTATAGTGTAAAACATACCTGGCTCAGTTTCCTTATATTCATCTTGCTGTAGTAGGTAACGATCGCTGCAAAAAAAAAAGATAAAATATAAGTCAGTTTGTTATAATTTGGGGATATAATTTCAAATGGTTGTTTGGCACATGCATTAAATTCTTGGTTGTCAGGACTATTTGTATTCTGAAAGCGCTGACCATTTATTGTTGAACTTGCTGGCCTGACACCATTGTGATAAATGACACAGACCACATTTGCAGCTTGTGCAGAGCGCTGGACAAGAGGAAATGTAAAGGTGACTTGGGTTCAACACAGTAAAGAGCATAACAGATGGGATTGTGTCCTAGATCCCCCTCAATACGTGGGAATCCAAACAGCCCAGTCAACCAAAGAGAAAGACATATTAGAAGGGAAAAAATTGCCTTCATATATTGTGAAAGATTATGAAAGCACAATGAGTAGTCACAAACATGTACAAGCATGACTTATGTCTGCGACCTTGTGTTAAAAGTGCATTGTATAGCTTTTCTCGTGGAGGGTCAGTCAAATGTTTCACAGTATGGCATTAAACCTTTCTATCATCACTGACACCAAACCAGGCCAAGATACAGGTCAGATCTGTAGACAGGCAACAACCACTCACAGCCAGAATACTTGTTTATCAAAGTATTTTTCAGTAGTAAAACCATCTGTAGTTTAATAAATGTGAGGATGAGCACTTATTAATATCATACAGCGTAACATTTCAGGCAGAGCAATTTCCAAAATCATTTCTAGAGAAATAAGCAGGTGATGGAACTTTAACCAGAAAGTTATATAGTGCACCTTTAAAGATAGTTTAGTCTATTGAAGTCCATGATTGAGTTAAATTACAACAAAGTAGAAAGAATGTAACCTTGTTACCTTACGTCTTTCTTAATCATTACCAGAATGGGATGGGAGTGGAATATTTGTGTTTGGAGTGAAATATCGTGATTCACAGATCAGTGACATCAATGTGTGTGATGAAATGCGTCCGACTTCATTATGCCAGTAGCAGCATTAGCAGCGGCTTGCACGAGGGGTTAAGTCAGGATCTGCTGTTGCTCTGGAGATGAACACAAACAGACAATGCCAAGAAAGAGCAACCAGAGAAAGTAATTTATTTGTTGCTCTTACATCCAAATTCAGCCTGGTGCAAAGTTGTTTATTCTAAAAGTGCTTTGTATAAAAGATAATGTTTTATGTTGTTTAGCTGGTTTCCTGGAAAGTATCAAAGATATTCTACATATTAATAATTGAGAGAGACGTAGATTGTTTGTATTGTTCAAAACATAGGCCGAATATTTATTTTTTTTTAAACTGTTTCTGCAAGCCACAGCAATGTATGGACCAAATCTGACAAGACAAGATACAAGCAAAATACACCCAAACCTCAGCGTATCTTTGACTGACTTTGTGACTTAACTATAAATTTAACGTTAATACAGCAAGCCTTGAAATCATATAGTGGCAGTTGAATGAAATAATATGGTGCCCTCTAGTGGGAAACAAGTAAGCATACAAACTGAAAGATTAGAAATTATCCTTTCAGTTTAAATAACTTATATTTAACACAAACATACTGTGGACTCTGTGTGTGGTAAGTATAGATCCATGATGGTAAATTATAATCAAACCAAAGGCAGAGAGTTTCTAATCACTTCATCCCTGAGTCAGAGCACGTGACTGAGTACATGTGGTTGTTTAAGTATAGTAAATGCACATTAGAGCATATCGCTAAACTATTGAGAGTGTCGCTGAGCATTTTGCAATCAATACTAACCTTACAGTACGAGTCTCCTTTATTTTTTATTTTTTTGACAAGAAACAAAATTGTGCTACGTCATCACTCTGCGCCGCTCTTGGCTCCCCCAATGGCTCCCCCCATGCTTACATGTGAGTAACCCATATAGTAAACAGAAAATATATTGTGTATTTTCTTAAAATGTGATCCTTGCCTTATTTTGAAGGCTTGTTTTGTTTTTGTTTGTTTTTTTTAGCCTAGCGTAACATAGCTGTAGATCATTTACCTAATTAAACGTCTTTACTAAATAGATTTAAATTTCAACTACAGCAAAGAAAGCCGATTGAGATCAAGAGCTAGTTTATAACATTTTACATGATCACGGAGATAACCTTTCTGTTTGTGTTCTGTGTTTAGTTACGCACATGGCCTTATAGTAATTATGGTTGAAATGGAAAAAGAAAAGAAAACGTGGAAGAACGGTGAGAAAAAGCGAAAACATGCTGGTGAAAGTACAGATGGAGGGCTGAAGAAGAGGAAAGAAAGGAAGGATGGAGAAATCAAAGAGAGAGCAGAAGGAGGCAAGAACCGCCTGGATCCAACCAGTGTGGGCTACTTTCGCAGAGTGGACGACAGACTGAAGGAGGGCTTTGAAGATGATGAAATGAAGGGTAAGTTATCATCAACAACATACAGAGCATCACACAAAATATATAATGGCAATAAATTATAGCTGCTAGGCCTATTTTAAAATATTAGACAAGAATCTCTTCATCATAATAAAAAAAAAAAAAAAGTTTATTTTTACTATAGCTTTGAATCAGTGATCATCTATCCAAGATTTACTTTTAGCTTGTTATGTGCTTTTTCTGCTCCTACATTTATAATATAATAAAAAGCTCCACTTTTTGTCCTCTTCACAGAGATGTTTGTGGAGAATGTACTTTCAGAAGTCAAAGGAAAAGCTGCCCTCGTGGCCTTGGACCGCACTGCCAGTATCACTCTGCAGCATCTGCTCCCTCTCTCTGGGCTGGATCAGGTGGCAGATGTACTGAAAGAAATGGCTGGAGAAACAGGATCAGACATCAAGACTGTTGCTTGCAGCCAATGTGGCAGCCATGTGGTGGAAAGTGCAGTTCGACAGATGTCTCGATGGTCAGGTAAATTTATATAATAAATTTATATATCCCCAGGTCCTTAAAGTGCTACAGAGGTAGTTAGTTTTCTTTTGGCAATGAGGAGTAAAAACACATTGATGGATAAAATATGTGAACATTTTTGTGTTTGTTTTTTTTTTTTTTTTACTGTTGACAACAAGTCATATATATCCCTCGTGCAACCCTTTAAAATAATCACATCTGTGGTCCTTCGTGACAAAAATGTATACCGGAAAAGAATACCACATTATTTTTCTGCATGTTCATATACACATCCATCCATTTGTTTGTCTGTAACTGTTTGAGGAACTCTAAATAATTTTTTTCACAAAGCATACAGAGTAACATAGCAATAAAGAAAGAAAATTTATATAGCTATATCTATGCAGTATTTCACAATTTCTTCACAATCTTTCACATGTTGCCCAGAGTCTACACAAACAGAAGAAGAGGATGATAGCAGTAGCCCTCTGGAGATGCAGGTGTTATGTCTCAGCCGTGTGGTTCGAGAGCACAGTGCTGAGTTTATCAAACAAGTTCACGGCACACATGTTGTCCGCACACTTCTCCACGTAATGTCCGGCTGCATTGGACCTCCCCGAACTACTGCTCAACCAGGTATATTTAGAGTCACAGTGTTACTCATATTTTCTTTCCTTTACTTGAAAAAGTTTGGAATGTTTAAAATTGCTTACTATTCTTGAGCATAACACTTCCCTCAGAATCAGTAAAGTATCTTCTTTTTCAGTTTTATGGCTTAAGAACTTGAGTAAATATTCAAAGAAAACATAAAATGAGCAAATCTAATGGTTTGTGTTTTGTTGTTTCTAGCTGCCAAAGATCGTCATATGACCCCACAGCTAACAGACTTTGACATACCTACTTCTTTTTGGTATGAACTGAAGGAGCTCACAGAAAGTCTAATGGCCAATGTTAACTGTGAGTTCGCAATATTTTCTCCTCCTAATATAATAAATATAATGGCTTTTAATTATACTCACGGGGGCAGACAGCTCAGCATTGATTTTGAGTATTTGGTTTCAGATTTTGATACTGCTGTTCTCTTAATAGTGGTACTAATTTTCATTTTCTCTCATTTTCCAGTGAGTGTAACAGACTCAGTTGCCAGTGCTGTATTTCAGACAATGTTGACAGTTTGTCACAGAAAACGGCCCAAACTTTGTAAACAGCTCCTAAAACGCATCATGGCTTACCTGACAAATTGCAGCTCTTCACCAGGAGTCAGGTCAGTTATTCCTGTCATGT